AGCTCTGGCTGAGCGTGAAAGGTGGCTTGCAGCAGCAAATTGGCAGATCACAGAATGGTTTGGGTTGGAAGGGACTTCTAAAGATCATCTTCCAACCCCCTGCCATGGGCAGGGACACCTTCCGCCACACTGGGCTGCTCACAGTCCCATCCAGCCTGGCCCTGAATGCTGTCAGGGATGGGGCAGCCACAGCTTCTCTGGGCAACCTGTGCCAGTGTCTCACCACCCTCATAGTAAAGAATTTTCTTCCTAACACAAATCTCCCCTCTTTCAGCTTAAAGCCAACCCCCCTTTTCCTGTCTCTATATGCCTTTCCAAAAAGTCCCTCCCCAGCCTTCCTATAGGGCCCCTTCAGGTACTGGAATGCTGCTCTAAGGTCTCCCCTGAGCCTTCTCTTCTCCAGGCTGAACAAACCCAGCTCTCTCAGCCTGTCTTTATAGGAGAGGTGCTCCAGCCCTCAAAGTGTTGTAGCCTTCCTCTGGACTTGCTCAAACAGTGGTTCCAAAGAATGTTTACCAATATCATGATAGGCACTTTATATATATAAATACATATATATATATACAAAATATGTATTTCTTATGTTGGGGCCCAGAGCTGAATGAGATCAAACAAAAAAAAAGCAAATTCTCCTTGGTTTCAGGACTGATCCTTCATCTGTTCCTCCTTGCCTGGTTATACTTTCTATTAGTAACTGCTCTTTGTCAAAAAACACGATGCCAAGATAAAGGTGATTGCCCCAGTAGGACCAGGGTAGAAATTACTCAAAAATCTCAACTGTGTCCAGGTACAGTCCTTATTTCAAGTCCCAGAGCAGCCCTGCGAGATGGAGGTTGGTGGTGCTTTGACCTTAAATACCTTGTACCTCGAGTGACAGCTCACATGTAGGCATTGGCAGCTATAAAATTTTTAGCTGGTGGAGATATTACCAGGATTTCTTTTTTTTTGTTTGTTTAAACTTGTGTTCGTATAATGTAAAAGAGGAAAATACTGTGCAAAGCGAAAGTGGTATAGAGTATTCATTGTCAACAATAAAATGATACTTACATTGTTATAGTGCATAACAGAGGAAAAAGAGGTCACTGCATTGTAAAGAACCTTGTGACTGTCTTACTGCTTTTCATGCTTGGCTGAGCACCATGTACTTGTCTCTGCAAGTGTGAGGTTAGCCAGCAAAATCCCCACTGAGAGCTCCTGTGCAGGGACGCCACTACCTAGCAAAGTTATGTGCAGCTGAAAATACTGTGTGAGACAAAACATCTGCTTCATCCAACTTCAGTGCAAAAAAGGAGAATGCAATCACATGGTTACATGATATCCTTCCCCCCTCAGCTCACATACAAAACCATAGGGCAGCTGGGTTCTCAGGATCTTCGTCGGGGACTGTAGTAATAGGACAAGGGGTAATGGGTTCAAACTTAAAAAGCAGAGATTTAGGTTGGATATAAGGAAGAAATTCTTTACTGTGAGGGTGATGAGACACTGGCGCAGGTTGCCCAAAGAAGCTGCGGCTGCCCCATCCCTGGCAGTGTTCAAAGCCAGGTTAGATGGGGCTTTGAGTGATCTGATCCTTTTAAGTTTAAACCTTTAAGGCCCCTTCCAACCCAAGCCATGCTATGATTTTAACTTTATGATGACTGGCACAATGTTACTCTACCATTTCTAAGCTTCACACATTTGCAGCTAGCATTTCTCAGTGTATACCCTGAAATTAGATTGTTGAAAACTAGCATTAACTGATATTTATTATTTCTCACTGAAATCTCTTTCCAGAAGGAAAAAAAATCCTGGAAAGACAATCTGAATCTACCCTTTTGAAACCCAACACATTTATTTTCATATTAATCTGTTGCTATAAAATCAATACAAGGAAGATTCATCGTAATTTCTTTCTCAAGTTACATACCAGTTCTGAAAATAGCTCTCTTCATTAGATTGCAAACTGCTCCATCTTGTGGTAACATAGCAGCATTAATGCAAAACAGCAACACCCCTACAGCTTTACCTTTCTGGTTATATTCCATTTGTCTTAGAGACAGTTTGGTATCTTAACTCAGAGCCAAACATCTATGTGTCGAAGGCAAAAAAGAGGAACCCGGATGAATCACAACATACATCAGCTAAAACCACAGACAGCCTTTTCCTTTTTGAACCATGTTCAGAATACACTGTTACGATTAAAGTACAAGCACCAGTCACGTTCAGGACACCTTTCTGAAATGTTGTTGGCAAGATAACTTGGTCCACACAAAGTGGTTCAAAACAGAGGCCTGGGAAGCCTGGCTCAGACACAGTTAGTAGGCTGATGTTCAGGGCTGCTTCTTTCAGTAACTTTGGGAATGCAAGGGAATGAGAGAATCAGCAAGTTAAAACAGATTACTCAAACTGGTGAACTGATTCTACTACTGTGCTGCTGTCACAAACCAAAACTAACAACCCCAATGAAATTTCCATATTTGGCTCTCCTGTAAGATACTTCTGGTCTGATAAATATGTAACAATGAGTGACAAAAATGGTAGTTTCACAGAAACAGTCCTTAACCCAATCACTTCATCTCCTAACTCCTCAGCTGACATGTATTGCAAACAGAGACGGATTTCATACAAGTGAAAAATTCAGAATTAGTTGGAAGCCTGAGCAAGTAGCGATACAAAAGCAAGCAATCTGGTACATTAATAGTGGTCCTAAGGACTTCCCTAGAAAGTTGTGATAAATTCTACAGCTTTACCCTATCTGAAAATGTTAATGGATCGAAGCAGCAAAGGACCTGCACGTACATTTTTGGACAGTAAAACATCAAGAAATCCTTTAAAGCATGACAAAAAAATCCTGTATGTTTTAAGTACTGTTCTGCTGTTGCACTCTTCCACCTTCATTACCCAATACTGAGGTAGGAAAAAAAATATGGTCAAACTGATCCATTTTCATTTGTCTTAAGATAAAAACTCTACTATTAGATTTCATTCTCCATCTTCTTCAGCTAACACCTTCATTTAAGTCTGTATGTTCTGTTATGCAAACATGTCAAAAGAATCCTGAGGTACCTGTCCCAACACAGATATTTACTCAGTGATTTTATTACAAGCCACAGCTTTTACTGAAACATGATCTAGAGTTATTTTGCTACACACAAACAATTAAGAGTTGAATTAGCAGAAATGCTAATTAAGCCACCTTGTATTTGCCTTGGTGTAAAACATGTCTCATGTAACCCATTTGTTTTTCAAAGTGAGATGGATTGCCTCAGCTGTTGAATTCAACTTAAGTCATAGCATCATAGAATTATTTAGGTTGGAAAAGACCTTCAAGATCACTGAGTCCAACCATTAACCTAGCACTGCCAAGTCCCATGACTAAACCAAATCCCTAAGCACCACATCTACATGTCTTTTAAATACCTTTCAAATACCTCATGGGATGGTGACCACCACTTCTTTGGGCAGCCTGTTCCAGTGCTTGACAACCCTTCTTGTGAAGGACATTTTTCCTAATATCCAGTCTAAACTTTCCCTGGCACAACTTGAAGCCATTTCCTCTCAACCTATTGCTTGTTTCTTGGGAAGAAAAGAGACCAACACTCACCTTGCTACAACCTCCTTTCAGGTAGCTGCAGACACATTTTGAATAAGACACACTACCTTAGTTTACTGAGTATTCTCATGAAACAAGTAAAAAAGCACAGAGTGGTTTTGGGGAGTAAAGAATCAGAAATACATCAGTCAAGGATGCATACCCAGTTTACGAATTTCCCTGTTTTACTCAGTTCAAGAGATCCATTTACTTGCTGCCCTCTTCTTGAATAGTGCTCGGGAAAATAATGACCCATATTGATCACTCATAGCTGTTTATGACTTGCATTGCCCTGCCAGCACTTTTTGTTACCTCTGAGGTGTAATAGCTTTGGTATAACCTACAGCAAATAAGAAGTGGGGCAGACACTTTAGTGATTAGAAAATCTGCCTGGGAAGGAAGAATTCCAAGTATTGAAGTCTTCTAAATTAAAACAAAGTTGGAAGGTGCTTTGTTGTTAAAAATTACTGAGTTGAAAAGTTTTTCTCTAGTTTCTTTTGGTGTGATGAACCTTATACTCTTTTTTGCTGTAGTTCCTATGGGCTATGCTCTTCCTCGGAAGCTCTATGTATCCGACCTCTGTCCCAGGGTTGGCAATAAACCAAAATCTTGCACTTCTGGGTGAATGCTGTTAAGCACTATTCTATTTTGAAAGGATACAATTATAGACACTAGGTGGGCAGCACTGTCATCACCTCCTGCTTCTGATTTAAAAAAAGAAAAGTTATGACTGCTTTTGGCAAAGAATCTGATGCTATCTTTGTACATTAGCCATATTCGGAACATGCCTCCTTGTTCAAGCCCCTTGAGATTTAAGGGGTGGGGAAGAGTATTCTAAAAGATTAACTTTAGTCTAATCCCTTCAAGCTCTTTCTGCATTTGAGGAAAGAAGAGAAAAACTGACTCCTCCAGAGGGTGATTCAGAGCACCTAAATTTAGGTATTGCTCTGAATCACTCTCTACTTAACCTGGGGAGGCATCCTGAAGACAACTGATTCCACATGCAAAGGTTATGCTCCGTGACTGTTCCTTTCTCAACATCCCCTCAATTGTCAGTACCGTTCTCGCTACTTTCTTGACTCCACCACAGTTAGGTGGGAAGTTGTCACTAATCCTCAGATACATATGAGGCAGAAAGGGAGGCACGTCAAAGCTGTCCAAATACCTGGTTACGAGCTGCCTCATTCCAGAATTTAAATAGTCAAGTCATTAAACAAATAGACTGATTTTTAGAAGTTACAATCTAGCAACAGTTTCATAAATCATTACTGACTTCAGGGGAGCTAAGATGCAAAGCTGGCACTCACCCTATTATTTCAGATGTAGCATTTTGGCAAACCACATCACTGTTTTCTGCAATTCTAAGTAAATTTAAAGAAAGTTGCTTATTGTTTTTGGAACAAAGAGAAGGTGGTCGTTACAATGGAAAAAAATATCTTTATTACTAAATATATTTATACAACAGTTTTAAATCATAAATCAGTATGTTCTGGAATTCTGGCAGCACTCTGTTGTTCTTTAAATACTCAGACTTATCGCTTTTTCCAGGTGAATTTCCGTCTGGCTCCCTCCTGACCAGGCTTTTTTCGCTCCTTCACACGTGGGTCATACGTTAGTAGTCCAGCTACAAAACACAGACAAGCACCCATTTGTTTACTGTTACTAGTTAATATTAGATATACTACATGTGGGGGATCGAAGGCAGCCAATAATTTCGCATATGAATTGGAACATCTAGAAGGATAAAGATTCAATATAAAACACAGGGAAATGAATTTCACCAGATCCTCTAGCATGTCAACTTTTCTTCAGTAACTGAAATTTCTTTACATTTTACTTTACAAACCAGTACAATCCCACACTATTTTATATCTATACTGCTTAAGCCTTTACAGCAGTGGTGTCCAAACTTTCTCAGCATGCACCCCCAATATATGTGTATTTATTAATTTAGAAATTATATAGACTACCAAAATTCTAGTATTTTCTTCCTGTACTCCCACGGTGCATCTTGCACAACACCAGGATGCACACACCCCACTTTGGAGACCACTGCTTTAAAGTGCACTTAGTGTTTCCAAAGTATATTTGGCAGTGTCCAAAACATGTTCAGAATTATGCTGATGTCATTACAGACACCCAACTCAATACAGCGTCAGTTTACAGGAGTATTCCTAGCAAGTCATACTTGTCAGTAGGTCTTGTTGCAACGATACTAGCATGAAGATAGCTTTACTTCCATGGATGGCAATAGAGTGAAAAAAAATCATAGTTGTTCTGCCAGTAATGCACACTGGTATGTCTCCCTAAGAGCCCAGAAAGAGCATAGTTAAAAGCTAAATTATGATTATTCTTTATTTGCTGAAACAGTATGGCATCTAATCACTGAGAAGCACCAAATACTGCAGTTACTCAATTTCTATTTTATCCCAGGTAGCTTGTAACCTCTAAATAAAGCAATAAAGAAACTCTTTCAGTCTGGTTAGTTGCGTGTAGTAAGTTTATGCTCACTACTATCCCTTCAAAGCTAACCCTCTAGAATAAAACTTTTTAAACATCAGTAAGATGCAACTAATCAAGTAAAACAAAATACAATCTTAATACCTTATAGCTCAATAATGCCTGATCAAGATTTGTTATAGCGAGTACACATTCATGAGTTGTAATTCTATGTTTTCGCAATAGAAGATGGTTAACAGACGTAACAGAGGTCATGAACAGATGGAAAGAATGCTCAAAAAGTCATTCCAAATTGTACACAAAGGATGCTATGAAACAAGCAAAAACAACTTAAAAGTAAAAGAAAATCCCTTCATAAAATATACAAGGTTTCACTGGGATTATTTACTCAAATCTGCGCTATCTGATCCTAAATGATCCTCGTATTAATTCCGTTAATTATCAGAGCACATTAAAAAATGCTGAGGTAATTTCAGTCCTACCTAGCCTCATGAATTCCACCTCCTTTTCTGTCACAAAGCTCCTTAAGGCTTTTGCAGAGGCTAAACGTATTGCTCCAGCCTGTGCTGATCTTCCTCCACCAGAGACTGTGCAAACCATATCATGTTTTCCAATTCTGTCGAGAAACTGGAAAGGGAACAACAACTGTTCTCTAAAAATAAAAATAAATAATAATAATAAAATATATACATGTATATAAAGTAACATGCTATGTACATTTCTTATCATAATATATATGAAAACAGTTAACTTTCAGGCAGAGATCCAGAAAGACATTTGTATCTCTAATTTCCTACTGATACCAACTAAATCAATGGGAAATCAGCAGCTAGAAACTGACAACAGTGAGTATTTTAAGTTCAATTTTACAACTAATTAGTGAAACAAAAGTATCTATAAATGCCAAGATCCTTCAACTCTGGATATTAAAACTGAGCAATCTCTCACTTTATTCCTGAGCTCAGGAAAAATAAAAATCACATGAGGGATAGAAACCTCATGTCAGCCTTATGAGAGGTCGTCTCTATATTAGACTGTGCTCATCCTCCAATATCTGAAGCTTTACATGAAGTGTCTCACCTTGCTTGCCTCCACTGTGTTACTGTATGCCACGTACAATCTGCAAATCTCTCAGGAAGCACTTAAAAGACATTGTGTATTTTTTTTTTAATAAACTGCAAGCAGGGAACAAAATTTCACCAAATACCTGTGCTCTTGGGTTTTGCATCCCTTCAGAAAGGGAGAGACAAGAAACACAGAGCAAGGCTTCCCTAGCAGTTCTTATACTACTGACTCCTGAAAACTAGGAGGAAAAACAAGACAAAACGAAGAAAAAAAGCATCAACTCTGTGGTGGAACACAGAACCAAATATATAATTGCATGGCATGACTTTTGCTCGAGTAACTTAAGTAAGAATACAGCATTCCAAAGTGCTCTCACCTGTCCTGCAGCACTGGGAAGTAATGTAAAATGTCTGTTCCATTCACTGTAACTTTTCCACTCCCATTGTCATACACTACTGCAGTAGCTCTTGCAGTTTTTCTTCTACCTTAAAGGAATTAAGCCAAATCTGTTATGAGGCTTCAATATTCCACAGAACTTCAAGTGCCCAGAAAGTTAAGCAACTCTCAACACTTTCATACTGTATCAGCTGTTTCTTTTTGGATGCTGAGGTAACAACAACAACAAAAATTAAGTGCAGGAAATAAATACAAGCAATACACAACTAGCTTTCAATATTTGTACTCATGTCTGTCAAAGAGGTGGGGAGTGTGTGTTGGGAGGAGGTAAAAGTAACACTCTACCTCCCATAACTTCAGTAGGTCAGGACATTTTCTTGACCTGGTGATGTCATGTATATGAAAATAAACAGCTTGTTGAACTCCCGTGTTTACTGTAAGTACATTTTCTAGTAATATTAAAATACTTTATAAAATCATAGAAAGGTACGGAAGTTTAAGGATATTCACATGGGAGCGGTTAACATTTTAATTATACTCGTATAAGCAATGCCTATGCATCAGTTGGCATAGCTTCCTCAGAAATTACTACTTACAGTTAGCTCTCTAACTGCATTAGCTTCAAGTTAAACCAGGATAAACTCCCTGTGCTACAGCCTAAGACCAGTTTTCTGAAGCACAAAGGAAGGAAGCATTCTGATAAAGGAATTATGAAAAAATTAGATGTTTTTCTCAGTTTAGGAGGGTGATGGGACACAAGACTGTTCTTGAACTTAAATTCTTACGGCTTTTCTTAAATAAGATGGGCTGTATGTTTATCAAGCTTCAATAACTACTGTTCTGAAGGGACTACTGAAAATCAGTGTGGATTAAACCCCAGATTTGCACTCTAGCCTCTCCTTGTTGTCATATCATCTTGAAGCCAACCCAGCTAGAACAGAGCTCTCTAGCCATTTTGCCCTCAGATTCTCTGCAACCTTTTTTCTTATTCTCATCTGCTGTTTGCTGCTTAAGAATACACATCACCTCTAAGGCTCCTCTTGAACATACAGCATAAAATGTGTGCGCACACACATGCTTTGTTCATCAAGTCAGACTTTCCTACACGTTGTCGCTACACTACTTTTTCTAGGCAATCACTCATATCATATATCATTCTTCCCTCCACTAAAAACATAAGCAAGCGGTGTTTAGAGGATAGAAACCTTCACGGCTTTTCTCTAACATCACCTCTGTCTTGGTGATGGCAATGACTAATTCCTGTCTCCATCCCACAGTTAGCTCTGGTCATCCACTTGTTAAAAAAACTTAGGAATTCCTATTTTGCATGCTTGTAGGCTGTTTGTAAATATCCAGGCTCCTCCTTGGTATCTTCAAAGTTCTCCTTTGCTGGACTGCATACAAAAGTCATGATACAGGTTACTTAGTGGCCTAAGCATGCCACTTCTATACCAGTGTTACATCCATGTAATATATAGTAACAGTATAACAACACTGTTACATCCATTGAATTCTCCATAGGGGTTTGTACTCTCCCGGTCCCTTGCCCTTTATGTTCAAGTCCACTCTTGCCAGAAATTAAAGTCCTTTTGCATCCTACAACATGTAGCACAACGGGATCCTCTCTACTGAGGCACTACTGTACAGAAATACAGATAAAACTAACAGTTGATAGACTCTGTGCTAAAACTTTCCACTTTGCTACCAGGCCATGTCATAACTTAGTAAGCCATACCATAATGAACAATCATACATGCAATATACACGTAAGCATATAAAATGAAGTAGTGACACCTTCAGCAGCATTATACATATTACAAAGAAAGCAGTGTGAAGGGGAAAAAAATTCTGCATCATTACCAACCAACTTGAAATTATTACCTTCACCAGTGCTGAAGGCCACTCCTCGCTCATCATACTTCAAGGGCTCAATAACTACCTTTTGTAACTGCACAGGAACTTCTTTGGTAAACTTCTGTATATACTTCTCTTCGATGTCACCACGTGGCAACGTCATCAATTTTTGCAAGAGTTGAATAAACCTTGAATACTGAGGACAACAAGACTTCATTAAAGAATGCGAGTGTAATTGCATTTGCTAAAACTTTCTATTTTTATATAATTGATCTTTCCTACTTCACTTTTATTGATGATTTCTGACAAGATGACACTTTTGCACCTACATGCTGATTTAAGAACAGCATGCATCATTTTCTGTGTGACTAAAGATACCTATTTCTTTCTTCGGGCAACAATGAAACTTTAATTCAAAGCATAACCAACCCCTTTGTGATACAGGATTATTGTATTAGAATGAAGTTCATGTCACTTTTGAAAAGAAAACATTGAGGGGGTCTTCATTCTTTTATTATTGTTTCATTAAAATGGCAAAAGGAAAAGATTTTCACCTCGTTTTCAGTAAGTTAGCATGTTCATTGACTTGGAAATAATTTTATTGCACTAAACTGAACCTCTTAAATGATTATATTTCATAATATATACAGGAAATACCTATCTATCTATCTTTGGCTGTTCAAGCTGAGTTACTTTAATGTTTATGATTTCCTTTAAAACCGAACAATCAAGCTATTTAAAAATTCAAGAGATACTTGACTTAAAGGGCAACCTCTTGAAATAAATTATCCTTTGCTACTGTGTGGTTCTCCTTCCCCCTTACACCCCCACCAAAGTTCTTCAACACGTGATTAAAGAGTAAACACCACTGTGTTAACCCATTTGTGCTAAAAGCTGGGATGTCCTGTTACGAAGTGTTACTGCAGGAGCACCGGACAGCTGCTCACTGGATATAAAGGTATGCTATGAACTAAAATGGATTTCTCATAGAGATAGCATAACCTTACTTTTGAAGCTACCTTTACTTACAAGCTGCTATTAAAAGTGTTTTTTCTTCTCTCCATTACCAAAGCCTTCTGCACAAAATTAATACTTTTCTCGTAACTGAGCAATAGTCCCTAAACTCTGACATCACTTAGAAAGTTACTTCTAATGATATGACACAGACGTGGTAAAGCCTTTGAAGAACAGAAATACAAACATTAAAAAATTGTAGAGGCTACAGATGCAGAAAGCTTCCAACAGTTCACTTGCAGAGTGCAAAGGGAAAAAAATACAAACAGCTCTGATTTTGTTTAATCATGCAAACACCACAGAAAATTTTGTTGCAATGGCAAAATACAAGAATTTGAGCAGGTAAGATCGGTAGCTCATATGGAGACATTTCAAATACATGTTTTATTCTATAGGCTGAGGCTTTGTGGTCTTACATGTGAGAGATCAGTTAAAAAGCTCTGGGTTTGTTTTGGGAGGTTTCTGTTTGTTTTTTGTTGGTTTGGTTTGGGGGGGGGGGTGTGTGTTGGAGTTGGGTTTTTTGTTTGTTGGGCGTTTTCTGGATTATTGTCTTTTTTTAAGTTTAGTGCAGTCTGCTTTTACAGCTGTAGAATGTACAAAACCCAAGCAGCGAAGGACTAAACTGGTTGTACAACTAGATCAGTTCCTGGCACTCTAAGAGGAAAAACAGCTATGCCAAATGGAGGAGGCACTGAAAACACTGAAGTGACTCACAGAAGAAGCAGTTACAAGACAGAGGAAGTCTCCTGCCTAACCCAGGATGGAGAATTTACAACAGTGATTTCTAATTAATGCTTATGGAACACAATCTGCTTGAGACCTTTTCACATTGCCCACAGACAAGGAAGCCATCACATGTTACTGCTCTGGATGACAAGTGAGCAAATGGCATGTTTGCTGCTATTATGCTACTTTTGCAATGATGCTGTCCACAGGACAGAAGACACTGAAGAACACTGTTTCTCTAGGTGAGAAAATACTTGAGATGTTCAGACAAATAGTGTTATATTCTCTGGTACTATCATATTCAAGCTTAAAATTCCAAAAGAAAACTGAAGCTCGCCCCATAGATTGAACCTGCTGTTAACAAATTTAATGCTATTTAGGGGACTGTAGGAAAAAGCTCTGAGAAAAAGTGTACGACTATCAGGATGTATACAGTCTTATTCCCAGAGATACATGTAAAGAAGGACTACAAATCTAGACAGTGACAGGGTTTGCAGATCCTGGGAAACTGCAAAACCCTCCTCTCTCCCGCCATAATATTCATATCAAGGAGAATATAACCAGATTACTGTATCATACCATAGATCTGTATAGCTCTGTATCTTGGTTTTGGTATTTGATTCTGTAGCCAATCAGTAAGAACAAGAACCCCTCATTTCTGTGGTTTACCATTACAGAAAACCACCATGTCTCCCGTCTTGAACATTTACCCCTCCTCTACAATAAGCAACAGAGGTTTTAGCTCTGTCTTTCATCTGTAACTAGAATAAATGATTATTTATGTCTATTATAAAGTGCTACCATACTCCTGACTACATAATTAGATTACAAGGAAAAGTGCCTTAGACCTCACAATGTTACCAAGAGAAAATCTGAATTATGTTAGTTAACAATGGAAAATCCTTAACAGTTTTGTACTGTGCTAGATAAAAAAGCAACACAGCTCACTTTTCTTGAAAACGAATGCGACAGTGCTGTGAGCACATACAAACTTTATGAGAAAGAGGAGAATTCTTTTTGAAGAGCACCTGCTTCTGTTCTGCACAGTACCTTTTCAGCACCCAGAAAAGCACCCAGAGTTCATATTTTTAAGACACAAGCCTCCTTAAGATTAGAAAGATTAATTACTTACATCATTATCTGACAGTTTTTCTAACAACATTTCTTCCAATTCAATCTTAGTCAGCCATCTGCTGCCAGCCAGGTTTCTGTTTAAAATATCACATATATTCTCCCTTTAATTAACCATGCAATTAGAGTTACATCACAAAGGACCACATATAAGTCAGTCTTCCTTCAGAAATACATTTTCCAGTATAAATGAATACTGATCACATTCCTATAGTAAACATAAGAAAGCCTACATTGATTTTAAAAGATCTATCTTTTGACAAGGAAGTAACTTCACGTATTGAATTAACCACATGAAAATTAAGAGTATCAGTTATGCATTATTCATATTATCAAAGTCCAAGACTGAGCTAGAGTAATACTGTAATAGTGAACAATCTTCCCCATAACTTAGGACTTAGTTTTACAGGGCTGCTGCTAGGAAAACTTTGGCTTACAAGCAGCAAAGAACAAAATCAAAGGCAGAATGCTAAAAATCAGATTCTAAATTAACAGAATATTGCCTCCGGTCTTTACTCTTCCAATCAATACAAAAAACTCCACTAGCACTAAGCATAGTCAAAGTACTACTGCAGCAGTGACACACTGTATGCCGTCTACTGTGTAATCTTGACCTGCTCAGAAACTGCACTGATGATAGCAAAAGCAGAAATTTCTAAGAATATAGCCTCATATGGAGGTGCTAACACAAAGAAAAAACAATGCTTGAAAAAAATCTTTATGAAATGCCTATGATACAAACTGACCAACTAAACAGAATGCCACCATAAATATATATGCCAAGATTATCAGCTAAATTTAAGGCAAAGTTGCAAATAGTTTCTTTCCTCTTCAGGTTTTTTAGAAACAATCTTAATGAATGTTTTCAGCAGCATTAAGGAAGCTGTGATTCAGAAAGCACTCCTTCTGAAGGTTGATTTTAAGTAGTACTTCTTCTTAAGTATATATTTTAATGCTTTTCTGAGTCAGGGTACAAGAAACGTTTATTTAGAAATGATGCTGGGTTTAACAATAATTTTAAAAAGCTTCCAATCCTGAGAGACTCAAGTATATACTTACATTTACATATCACTACTTCCAGTGAAGTCAGTGAAATTTTTTACATGTGAAAAGCTGTAAATTTAAAGTACTTCAAGATCAGGTCCTAACCCTACAGTTAGTATTGTAGAATGGGTCCACAATAGATCATTTTCTGGGGAAAAAGAAAAACAAAATAGCCCTTCCCACCAAGACTTTACCTATACTTCACAGATGAATTATCCAAACTAATCTCAGAGGAAGTACCATATCCAGTGTGGAAAATAGGTCTCAAAAAACCTCTAAATTCTCTGAGCTTTTACAAACCTAACAGGGAAAAAACCTTTCATCTCTGACGGGCTTTAGGTCATTTTTCACATCAGTAAATGCACTGGCTGAGCTCCGTAAGGAGTCAGGTTATTTTTCAGCAGCATACACCAAGAAACTAAATTCATTTCCTTGTCTGCTCGGAAGCTAACATGAATCTATGATAAAACATTATGTGGGTCATAGGACACTATTTGTACCATGAAGAAACATGAACCTCTGTTACACAAGAAACTGAAATAATCTCAGCAAATTAATCCTTTCTAACACAAATAACAAATGTCTGAAATTAACAAATAATAAACTAATATGATGTGGATCTGGAACAGCACATAAATCTGGCTAGAAATCACACAGCAAGAACAAAGATAAAAATAACTTGAACAGTGAAAAACTAACTATACAGAAAAGCAATAAATGCCAAAATCAAAACTTTCTAGCTGTATCCATTTCTTTTAAAGACTTCCTTGTTTTAATACTCTAACATAAAATCCTTGCAAACCCCCCTCAAAATAGAAAATGAAGAGTATAGCCTAAGAGAAGCAAACAGTTCTTAAAGCATATATCCAGTTCAAAGACAATGCTGACTGTATGCACTAAGAAACAATCAACTGCAGCATCTCCCATAGCTTCTTCTGGTTGACATGTATTTTTTCTGTCCATTGGTTAACTAGCTGAAAAGATCTCCCTGTGCATACCACAGTAGTTAAAGAGGAAAAAGAAGATAAACTAAATTCAGTTACTAATAATGGTGGTATTTAAACAACCCCAACCAAATAAACTTCCTAAAATTAATATAGCTTTTGATGATTTACCTGTTCAAAGCCATTAGAAGAATTTTGATACTCTTCAAGTTGAATATTGGTAAGAAAAAACATTCAAGAGCTGTTATTAATGAAAGAGCCATAGGCTTTAGGATTTTTCCAACAGATAAACAACTTCTTAGGTACTTTTAAAGACCTTATTTTATTACAAATAAATTATCTCCTTTTTCAAAAATCTTTAATAAAGAAATAATTAGAAAACTTCATCTACAAAAAAAAAACAGAATTCTGTATACACTCATTTTCAAATCAAACTTTTATATAGGAGAGAATATTGAAAAGAGCAGGAAGATATTAAAGAACAAGAGAAATGGAGGTGGGGGGTGAGGGGTGTGCCTATTCAAACAGTGAGAAGCAAGCACTGCAAACATACATACTACGGGTAAGTCTTTTCAACCTGAAATTACCATGCAAATATTAGGCAAGGAATAGGGAAAAAGTCTGAAAATGTTCTTGTGGAATAAAAGGCAGGTAGCGTGGCGACCCACAAGAAGTGCCAAAACAACATATGGAAGCATTTTAATCAATATTCAGTCTAACTGAAAACTTACTTTTTTTCCTTCTGAGGAGGTAAGTCTTCAGCTGTCAGTTCATCTTCATACTTCTGAACGTTCAGCAATTTTTCATATGTGTCCTAAAATGCATATATAAAAAGTACTTAAATGCACTTTTCCATTTAATATTTAAATTTTGTTATTTAAAACACATGCTTATGTGGTTTTACTCTCCAAACACTTAAAAATGCAGGGGTTGGAAAACAAGCAGAGCTCTTGACAAAAAGAGAATACAGCAAGTTAAACCTAAACCAGTAAAAATTTAGGCAGTATATATAATATTTTCATAGGCAGGTCAAAAATAATTAATTTTTAATTCAGCTATTTTTCAGCAAAGGATCATATGCTTTTAAAAAAAAATCTCAACTGTATACAGACTAGATTCATATAATGGATATACTGCACAATAATTTCATCAGTGCATCTACAGTTTAGTTTGACTTCCTTAAAATACTGACAAGGTTTAATTTAGTTAAGAGTTTTGTACTTTTAAGAGTGTGAGCTTTATTGGTGGTCTGCATCAGCCAAAACTCCCTCTTCCCCAGGCATGTCTATAGGGACACACAAAGCTGTATATTTACCATAATCAGAGCTTCTGTTCTTTCAAATGTTACAGATATATTTAATCTGAATTTTGATTATTTTTTCCCCTCAAAATTCTTATCTATGCTATTATTTTCAAACAATGCTGTGACAGCTATTTACCACTTCAGAAAAACAAAAGGAAAAAAATACTCCAGAAATTCACACTGAAAATATCACAGAAGAAACACATTTTTAATTAAGTATTTTCAGGGTTTTTTCCCAGTTAAAAAACTTTCAGAGATACCTGGTTCTGAAATACAACATCTAATACTCTGAACTACAACACTGATTCAAATCACAAGTTTAATAGGAGTATTTGGAGAAATAATTTTAAGTGATATTGAAACAAAATAGGATTGCTGTACTACAACAAAGTACTTATTTGTCAAATAGTTTACTTCCATTAACAAGTGAAAATAGTTTATTATCACTATCATATACCTTATTAATATAATGATTAATAAGCAAATACTACACAGATACTATGGTGCAAGAATTAGCACAGGAAACAACTGTTAGGGTTTTTTTTTCTTTGCATTACTTACAAAAAGCAGTAAAAGAAGAAACATTAGCTCAGAAGTTAATCAATGAAACATTAGTTCTTAACGTAATACTGGGATGTGCAACAGCTTGCATTTAAAAAGAAAAAGCCAAGACAAAACCCCTTTGCTTAGTTATAAACACCTAGTGTTTAAGCTGATTTATCCACTAATAATACACCCACACATAGACTAAAAATATTTGTACTGTAAGCGTATGAACTAAGAACAGATTGGTATCTGAGCGGCAGTTAAAGCATTTAAATAATAAATAATAAATAAGGACAACTCACTGAAGTCTTTGATGCTGGCCATTGGTGACATTTTTAACAGCACAGTGGAACAAAAGCACTTTTGGAATAACTACAGTATAAAATCCTAAAGCACAAAATTGTCTGCTTTTGAGACAGCCTCTCACCATAGTAGCAGCCTCTCATCATAGTAGCACACCTTTCAGAAATCTTTTATTTTTTATAGAGATAACTGTATCAGATAGAAACTCTGTAAATTTTTCAACTTAAAGTCCATCTTCAAACACAGGAAACATATATAAAAGAGTACAAGAAATCGTATTTTCAAATACTTCCAAAACTCATAAATAATCTGTAGATCTCTAAGATAACAAGATACTGCAGCATCACTGTGGGCAAGATGCATGTCACATCACTAATAATCTTAACATCTCCATTCAGAGCTGACTATTAAGCTGCAAAAATTACTGCCTATACATTAAAGGCACAAACATGATTTGGGTTACAGGGCATGAGATGTGCCTGACACTAGGCAATTTTTAGGCATCTGTAGTTAGACATGAGAAAGAATCAGTACGAAAGGTTCTGTTTGGGACTGTAGAGGGAGGGGAGGGGAAAGAGCGCTGTGCTGTGGCTCTCCCTCAGCTGCTTGGAACAGGCTTAAAGATTCCTCCAAGCTCCACGAGCTTCTGCATTTGGGAGCAGCCAAACCAGGCATGAAGACAACATTCTGCTGTTAGATGATGAGAAGAGGTACTGGGTTACTAGGTCTTACGTATAAGGAAGTTTTCCACTTTGGTGCTAGTCTCCCAGCTTACCTCTTGCCTTTGCAAGGCACCGAGTGTCACCTTCCTAACTGGCAAAAGCAGTCTGCAGTCTGCCCCCTCAAATAGCCACCATCTTCACTACACTCCAGCATATACATTTATGTACTGGAATGGTCAGCAGAAAAATACATGAACCAGGAGCTCAATAAAAACACAGCAGTTCTTTAAAAAAGGGCAGAGGGAAGGAATCACAACTGTTAGACTGGGATAGACTGACTACAGTCAGAATTGCTTCTGAACAGCAACTGAAGGATTTTCAGGTAAGGATTTTGTCATCATACTCAGAAACTACCAACAAACACAGGCAAATAAAATGAGATATGGGTTGCCATCCAGTAGTTTTTACTCTCAGAAATTTGTTGTTAAAATGAAAGAGCAAGCTTTACAACAGCTGGAACAAGATTTTCCTGAAGATCCTCCCTCTGTATTCCCAAAGAATACCAACACTCCACAGTCCATTTCAGTTCCAAGAATGTGCACTTCTAAGAATTACAATGATCTCTTTCAACTGTCCTTGTTAAATTACAGTAATTATGTCCATTCCTACAGAAAACCTTTTACACAGGAAATTAAGTCAAATGACATTAAAAAGTAATATTTTAAAATACTTCCAAGTGTAAGAAAATCACTAAATATAATTTCCTGCATATTTCTGGCACTGAAAGTGGACTTGCATCTCTTATGAAATAGAATTTTGGCTTGAAGTATTAAAAAAAAAATTAATGCATGTATTTAATCTCTGTATAAAGATGAAGTCAACAGACTAAAAGGACCACTCATGTGTGAACTCAAGTATGTTGGATTAGCCTTTGCAAAATCAGGAATCACATGTAATGCCTAATAATTTATCTGACAAATCTTAACTCCCCAATGGCTAAAGAAAGCTTCTGAAGACACACTTGCTTTTTCAAAGCTGACAGGTGAAGATTTTACTAATCACTTCAGAATTCAATAGTCCAATTCATGAATGTACACATCTGTGTGCCTTGTAAACTCAGCTATTACACAATCAAAATAGCTGATTTTACAAGATTGTCTATACACTGAAATGCTTCCATTTATAACAGAGAGATCAAATTTCACATACCTAGAAGGATGCTTTCTCAAAATAAAATCTTGTTTTACTGTGCAAAAAAAAAATAGTGATGAAATCAGCAAATGAAACCTTAGGAGGACAGATTTTTATTATAAAAAATATCTTCATATTTTGGTTAAAATATGCTGCAGATGATATTTTACATCAATTTGCCTTTTTCTTTTCTTATGTGGTTTTAACTTCAGCATATCCTGGGGGGGGGGGGGTAGTTCTGGTGGGGTTTTTTTGTGGGGTTGCTTGTTGTTTGTTTTTTTTTTTTAAGACTTTAAATGCTCTGCTGTTAGAGCATTTCCCTCTGATGAACCTTTGATATTTCCAAAAAAGTACAAGAAACACTATTACATAAAATTACTACTTTGTTAGACAAAATGGTATTAAGAAACCATTTTGTCTTGTTCTGCACATTAGAAGTATATTATTCTGGAAAACTCTTAAGTGATGATCAAATACAATATCAAACATTTGTGAAATGGTGTTTCATGTAATAAACATTATTTTGTGTATCAAAAAAAAAAAGTGTCCTTTTCCCTGCATCTAAACTTTATTCAACAGGCAGAACAAAGACAACAATGGAGTATAAAGCAAATATCCTTTATGAAAATTGACTTAATAGTCAAGGCATAACAACACATATATCAGCGGATATAATACATGCAAATATACACAGTTTATTTTTAGTAAGTGTATAATATTATTTATTAGCATTAATTAAATAATGCTGTGATCAGTTATATTACTAGCAATTCATAAAATTCAAGTTCCACATGAGTCTATGCAGTAATTAATGGCATACAAGTTTAAGCTAAATATTATGTTTATCCGATTTATTAGGCTTAATATAGCAACTTAAAAGACATCCTCAAATGGGATTGATTACTTACACTAGCCTGTATTAACATACATCCCCTTTTTTTCCCCAGCCAAATTAATTAGCTTTGAGACTTAAAAATACATTTTGTTAAATACACATTAGTCTAATAAGAGGTTAAAACAATGTTGGGAATTTCATGCAGATTTCAGCTTTCATTTGGCTGACTAAAGAAAAACCCTGTTAGACCTCACTTAACGGATTTAGATTTATAAAAGCCTATTTAATGAAAAAAATCAGAAACAGTAGAACACTCAAGTATCCTATACTAATGAAAATGCATTTGTCAAACCCATTTGTTTGAAGGTGGTTGCCCTACTGTTATGAACAAGATGCACACTATTCTGTTAGAGATTTCCAAGGCAAGCTTGCATACCCTTTCTAACTGCTAGGAAGAGCTAAAAATAAACTCGTGCTCCTTGTAAAATTTGTAATTTCTTCATTATGATGGAATGCAACAAAACATCTTGCCCTTGGGTTGCTCTGTTTCAGCCAAAACAAATGCAAATGGCTTGTCAGATGACAGCTGTTTGATAAGGCTCCTCTACAAGACCTGCATGCTTTACTTTTTTTCCGTGAAACTTGGGATGAAAGGCAGAAGGCAGGAAGAGAATTAATGTAGCATACAGTCTAAAGGCAATGCTACAACCGTGATTAAGTAGAAAAGTTAAAAGGCACAGATTTTCCACAGCCTTGCTGCGTGCAACCCATCCGTGTAACAAGTTGACAGGCCTAGCGCGTCAGCTCCATCATCCTCTCCGACAGCTAAAACGCAGCATTGCATCCCTTTTCAGAGAAAATTTGCGTCTGCACCATGAAGCGTTGTACATTATTTCTTAGCACTGCAGGGGGCTCAAGTCCATATGGAACCTTCACAAATATTACCACAGATCAAACCAGCGGCGTTTCGAGGCAGATTTGACATACCTATTTAAATGAACAGCAGGGGTCCTCGGGCTGCCTCAGGCTGTGCAGGAGAAAACCTCTGTGGAAAGCCTATGCTGCAGCTCCATTACTCAGCAAAGACACACTCTACATTTATCATTCATTTCATTTCTGCCAGGGCAAGAAGCTCATTTGCCCAAGGTCAACAACAAAAAAAGAAAGGGGGGGGGGGGAGTTGAGGGACTGGGGGGTGGGTTTTATTCTCCCAAAGAAATAAATGTACCTGACAAGTGGGGATTTTGTCCTTTGGGTAGGCAGAATGCAAATAAATATCAGATAATTCCACTAAAAACACTACCCTCAGTAAAGCTGTGCACTGAATTTGAGAACATGAAGCTTATTTTTTTGCTAACTGACTCACCACAGAACTAACTTTCTAAGACTATCTAATGAGGAAACAAAATCTGACATGATTGTCCAATTAAATCTTTCTGCATACATTATAAATTCTTTTGTCTTCTCTACATACATGAAAGAAACATGCACATCTTTCTATAAACTCCTCTAAAGAGAAAGACAACGCGGGCATCATTGATGGTCATAGATATAAAATGTCTGTTCATCATACACATTAAGACTCAGGGTCTAGTGATGTTCTATTAGTTACAGCTTTTTTCATATAGGTAAACAGATGCAGATCCTTTACTCCTGGAACCATACTAATCAGAAAAAGCCTTAAGTTTGCATGAATGGAAGAGTCTTAGAAAAATCAATTAAGCAGTTTAAATGCAAATTTTCTTCACACTGAATGTCAGCACAAATAGCATTTCCTACAGCTTTGCCCTTCAAGGGGGAAAAAAAAAAAACAAACACGAAAACAAACCCACAAACTAAAACAAACTATTTTCTATTCTACACTGAATTTTCCTAAAACTAGGCATTTTTGTTGTATATGCATTCACCACTGCTAACCAGATACTGCCTACAAGAAAGCATGTGGACTATTCAAACCTAATCCACAGCAAGAACTGTAAAATAAACCAAAAACTAATAGTGAGAACTATTATGTGGTCTGCTCTCTTAATTATGATATAAAAACACCACTAATAATGGATATTGTGACATAAAAATATACACTGCATTTAGCTTAAGTGATGATATTAAGGCCTACTGTGAAAACATAAGTAAACTCAGGAGCACCCGATATGCATCTCTAGAATAACACATATTTGACTGGGATCTAGCATTACTTATTACAGATTAAAACATACTTACATGCATTAATGAATAATATGCCTGCTTTCCAGTATAGAAGAGAAAGTGAAATGGTCGGCCATCTTCTCCCCACTGGATTTCTAATGAAAAGCAAGATTGGACAAAAAAGCAATATACACTTACCAAATAAAATCCTCTGTATTTAATTGCAGTTCTAAACCTCTTTCATAATACCTATTACCTTTTTAAATATCAGAGAACAAAGACATTTTACAGGTGTTCAACCTGTCTGGAAATCTAAAGATCTAGACTAGCTTGTTAAAAACCAATCTCCACCTGCAATTATAACCAAATATTTAACAGAATGTTTCTAAATATCATTTAACACAAGGGAATCCCCCATGTACCACCTAAATAAACTTTCAAAGACTGTATAGTTGGCATTACAGACAGAATTATCCATTTTAGGATAGGAAGAAATACAAATTAAGAGATGACTGAAATCTACATAATGACTGTGAAAGATTAACAGCTCTAGAAAAATGGTGCTTTAAACCCAGAGCAAATTTCTTTTTAGTATAATACTTCTAAACTAAACCAAGTATTCATACAATTGTCTTTTGCAGGTAACACAGCTGTATCAGAACCGGATGATTTTAGGACTTGTTCATGCTGATACACTTGGAATATGTAAATACGAAGACCAATCCTATGTTTGTATAATTCATTCAGCATGAAAAAGTATGTTGCATATAATTCAACACATCCAGGTTTTAAAAAAAAACAATATTATTTAAGGAAAAAAAAAATCAACTTACAGGGGAAAAAAAAAATATTAAAAAGACATTTTCCCGTTAAAGCGACAAAAATAACCTGAGAGCTCTTTACAACTGAAATGTAGAGAAAATCCAAGTCACTTTAGCCACTGAAGTTCAAATGAAGCTATCTATAAGCTATAGACTCCAAGAACCATGATATGTATTGCATTAGAATGTTAAAACATAATATGGTAGAAGCTGACCACAAAGATGCAAACTTACTAGAATAGAAAGACTACAAGAGGCTTCTATCCACACATACTAGTAGTGGAATATGTGAATTTCCATATACGCAGCGAAACAGACTTTCCATGAAAGTCTATTTCATTGAAATTGCTGTTCAGGTAATATTCTGAAGTATAAATTTACATTTTTGTACTTGAAAGTTATCAAAGATGTAATGCATAAACAAGACAAAGCTGCCTTAAAATAAATACTTAGTTGCACGTGTTACTTTTAGATATAAATACAAATACACACATTAATACGAATTAGTCCTTACACTCCTCAGGACACAGCTAGTATTTCAAAGAATTCTTTAGTCCCGATAACATAGAGAATAGTAGTTTAGTTCTGCTGTAAAACAGCCCTCGGATTCTTGAAATTGCATAATGACTAACTCCCTCCTACCTTTTTGCTTCCTACTTTTCACTTCATAATACTATGAAATTTGAAAATAATTTATGACACCATTTGAAATCTGAAATACAAAAATTTCAGATAATTTAGCTTTCTAAAAGACATACAAAGCCTCAAAAATACCAAGTATCAATTAATTCCACAAACAGGAAAAGGCCAGAGGATGCTAAGATATCCACTATAGATTATCCACTGATAATCAGATGGGTCCATCTGGGACTTGTACTGAATGTAGAATTCAGTGAATGTAGAGTTTCATTTGATGAAATGAACGACATTTCATGTAGGTCAGTGAATGTAGAATTTCACACCCATGCTACTAGTTCATTCTAAACATGAGTAAAAAGTGGCCAACAGGTTTTGACACAGCTCTACGTCAAATTAATTTGGCAGTTTCAGTGAAATTCTCACTGACCACCACACTGGCATATCATTGACAACTGGGACTTCACAAAGCATGTATGGAGCAAGACCAAAGACAGTACAGATGCAAGTGCAGAGTTAAACCTTTCAGGTCAAAACCGAGGCAAACTCTTCCTATTCTCTCAATTGGCAATTTCAAAGCTGTAATTTCTAAGCTTTTAGAGCAATGAATTTATCAGGAAAAATTTGGTTTAAAATAGTATTAATGAATATTTTATGCCTGTGATAGACAGCTCTGACAGAAAGCTACTGAACTCAACAAAAGGTTTCCCCATGACTTCAACATTCAACAAATTCTGCACGACATCCTACATATTGTTTATTTTTAAACAACAAAAAACATTTATCTATAGTCAGTTAACAAGATGTCTGAAAAGAACACTGGTATTCCAGAATCTAGCAGTACTTTTTATCCTGAAAACTAGAATATCAGATCAGGCTTCTGCTGCTTGTGTCTTAACAGTTATTAGGAACATTGAAAAAAAAGTAAACCTGTGAAAACAAGAAATTATACACATGCAAAAATTCTAAATAATAATAATAACAATAAAAATAATAAAACAACAAACTATGAATACTTACTCCTCTGCTCTGGAAAAATTTCAGTAGGATGCTGTGAACAAACAAACAAACATCAGCAAAAGAGAAAAGTTACTTAAAATCATACTACAGTTATTTAGAAATGTAACTGGAAAAATCCTACCTTCATCATGGGCCTGGCTTTTTTGTCAAATAAGCCAGAAGGAAAGAGATAGGCAATAGCTCTCTGAAAACAAAAAGAGAGATCATATGTATTTTTTTTCCCACAAAAAGCATCATGGAAATATTTCTTAGGTACTTTCCCATAGGGAAAAAACAGCATAACTTTTGTAGAGCAGGCAACAAAACCAGTAAGGAAGAATGACATACATGTACTGTGCTCAAAAGCACACCATTTCCATAGGAATCCTCAGGAAAAGTTAAACCTCATTCTGAAGTCTGCACTCTACTGTATCAGAATAAGTGAATTTTCTCCTTCAGTTTAGTTTTTATGGTATGCATTTATCGTAACTTACCAAAACTACTCTAGTGCAAAGACCACCTTTATATACACAATGATTTTCCCCAAAAATTTCACATGCTGCAACTTCTAGAGGAAATCACAACATTTATCTTTCTGAAAATACATTAACAGACCAAGCATAGAAATTTTACTTAAAGCAGCTCGACAAAGCAAAGTTTTATGCACTTAGAATCTCAGTTTCTACATATTTTTCTCTAGAAGTCTAAAAGCAGTGGTTGTAGTGGCAGTAGAAGACATTTTACATAGCCTAAATAAGCATTTTATTAACCACTGAATCTGGAAACTGCTGTGCATCACTACAATCTTTGTTGAACTTTCACTGCTCAGAAGACAGAGCTACAGAACATCTCTCTTCTTAAATACCTAAGGGTTTGCTAAAACAATTCAAAAAACATGACATTCATTACACACTCATTGTTTACCACTGTTTTCACAAAGTGTATCATTTGCCTTTACTTAACCAGTATCTACCACTATTCATGTGATGTATGAAGTTAGTAGTATTTGCCTCCAACAAGTAAAATAGGTATACCAATATTCCACATCCATTTCTGCTCAACATCAACTTACCCTCTGCAGCGTAACTAAAACATGATTTAAAAAAGCAAAAGTATGCATTTATGAGAGCTGTTTATTTCCATTTGTTTTCAAAAACAGAACAGAAAAAGCTAGCCATCAAAAAACCCCCAGAGGCAAGGGTCTGGCAAGAGTAGCCAACTTCAGACAGTGAGCAGTAGTGCTTAAGATGGAAATCTTGTGCTTGTACAGTAACAGTGGCTAACTGAATAAAACCCTCTGGCAGTGGTCTTGTTTATATTTCCATTAGACAGTACAGAAAAGTAGAATTACAATAAAATCAGAGTTTAAAATCTTAAAAAGAATGGCTCTTTGTTGGTTAGGTTACCTTAAGGCTGTTGCTTGCTGATAATTTTTTCCACGGACATGGAGTGGTTTGTCAGTGCTTCAACTGATTTAATATGCATGGAGTGTAAAAAGACCTAACCTATTACTTTCATTAATCCCCCACTGGCAGCCTGAACAGAAATTTTGAGAATTCTGAAGCAAACAAAAGGCTTAACTTGATTTTATGAAATGGTAATTTTGTTTCTCTTAGTGACTACTGTATTCCCATTTGTTAGTCAATGGGCATTTTATGCATACACACAGTAGGTGAACACCTATTTATGAACAAATGGGGATTAATTATGATGACAATAGAGAAGTCAGCTGTGAGCCAAATGATGTTAAACAAACACCTTATATAATATATTAACAGAATTTATTACACGATACTGAGACTGACTGTGTGCGCACTTAAGACATAGTCTTTATACAAGCATTTCCAGAATCTCAGTCAAACCAGCTACTGTAACTGTGACACCTTGATAAATGCCAGATACAACAATTTAACATTTATAATGAATAGAGTGGCTGCCACTGGAGACCTTCTACTTCTAGAAAGTGTATTTTATATTGCTTGAGTGTATACTGGTATCTTTCACACCAAAGCATAAACAAACCCTGCATCAAAAAATCCTACCATCTACTTTCAGCTCTCCACACAACTAGTGAAAGAATATTCACTTTGTAAGTTCACTTTTTTGTTGTTCTGAAATAAAAAGAAAGCAAAGTCCTCCTTCCTTCTCCCTTTTTATGGAACTGTAATCAAGGATGGGGTATTTGCCTTTACCTCCCATTAGGAACTATGCTGGAACTCAATAGAACAGCTTTGTTCAGAAGTTTCTCTTTAATTTTATATAGCTGTGTCCTCAAGCTGTACTTTTAGGAAAAACATAGCATATCAGCCTCTCGGAAACTTCATGTATAGAAGCTGATTTTTGTCCATGCAAATGTTTGGTTTATAGAAAAGGAGCATTTTGGAAAAACCTGTAATTCTCAACACTAATGTGTACTAGCAATAAAATAAGATGGTGGAACAATCTTAGGAATGGCATCAGAATTAGTCTCTCCAAACTGCAGCTGGAGCACATAAATAACCATGAAATATTTTCCTGAAATCTTTTGACAATGTCTTCAGATTTGGAACACAGGCTTCCTTTCAGGAATCTCCATGTCTCAAGTCAAAATTCCATACAGAATTAACTGCACATTCTGCATTTTCCTGAACATACAAGAAGCAGGTGAACGACCCTCTTAAAACTTTATAATCAACGTTTTAAATGGTAGCAGTAAAGTTCCCAAGAAGCCTTTTAGGTTTAGCTGCAGTCTTCCATTCCAAGAGTGGTTTTCAGTTTAAGGGTCATGCCCCATATCCTCCTTTTAGTGCTTAATTTGACCTGAACTCTTGATGAGAAAGGAAATGTAATGCTGAATATGACCAAGAACTATATGCTTCATTTCAGCTATGCAAGGTTCATTCACCTTACTCTAGCCTCCACAGGTTCAGGACTGCCATTTCACAATTCTATTTGTTAAATCACACTGTTACCATTGTCTTTGGAAATAAAACACAACCTTCAAAAAAAAGAAGCATCCATAATTATTTTCAGCAGAAACCCAATTAAAAATCCTGATACCTAGTGCTAAAATAGCGTTTCCCAAAATCATTATACAAACTACTGGAAAAAGGTGCAAAAGACACAGCCTGCTTCTGCTATGAGTTACTAAAATAAAAATAGCCATTTTCTTTTGGGATTTAAAAGTGTGCGTTTTTAAACTCTAATAGTACTCTACATGAGGGGAAGGGGGACGGGAAATTCAGTCACACCTTTAAAAATAGCAGATAGTAATGACTACATGTTAGTAACAACATGGTTTACTTCAGATATTTTTTAAACTGTGCTGGTGAACTTAACATTCCTGTAACAAACTGAAAGGAATCCTATTATATCCTTACTTGTTGAGGGATGGACTGAGTCTATATACTGCCCACAGGAGCACAATGTCTTCCACCTGCAACTGTAAGTTTGAATTCAAGCCAGTCTGAATAATGAGAAGAAGCTTCCATCCCTATTAAATAAATATGTATCTGGCAGTCCTTCAAACATGCAAACCAGTTCATTAAATAATCTTTCCAGCACTGCATGTTGCACATTCTGACTTCTGATCCTCCTTCCATTCCTACCTGTCTGCAAGCCAAGAAGTTTTATTCATTCGCTTCTTAAACATCAGACTAACTGAATCAAACAAGCTCAGCTGGGTCAATAAGGGTTACTTTTATTTTTTCCTTAAGTCTTGAGAAATGAAGAATTCAGTACTTTAATTCAGATAGAGTGACTGAGTCATGCTGGGATAGGGGAAGGAGAAACAGTTCAGTCCTTAAATAACCTGCCGTAAGGAGGAGAGGCTTGGCAGGGCAAATCAATCTTGCCCAAGTGTCTTCCCATACTTTTGTTGAATCTACAGCTCAAAACATTCTTCCAGTGATTTTCATTGCTTGAATCCGGTGCAAAGATGGTTATCTAAGTAACATCCAGTGAGAAAAGGTATTTTGTAGAGAACAAGGAAAGAAAGGAAAAGAAAAAAAACAAAATCAAACCTCTACCCTGGGGTTCCCTTGCAACAGCACCCTTTTTGGAAGGGGACTCAAGAATCCAGCTCATTCTTTTTTAAATATACACGAAACTTTAATCATCAAAACACTGAAGCGGGAAGTGACACTTTACACCATCACGCTTAATGAAACACCTGAGCAATAGCTGTTTCAGCTTCTTCTACTCCTCAAATTGATCACACAAGAGCCACTTTTCTTAAACCTTGCCTCTTGAATCACGTTATTTAGCCTCTGTACTTCAGAATTTCTCAGACTGAGATGTTTGCTGGAACAGCTGTTTTCCTTTCTAACCACACTAACAGTATACTTTAAAACTTTTCAGCATCCAAAATCCAGAATATTTGAGGCAGAAAGAGGAGTGAATGAAAGCATGGGACATAAAATGTTAACTCTGAAATGGTTTTATTTATTTAACAAAGGTTAAAAAAAAATAATCCATGACATACCTAAGTTTGCCTTATAAAACAAAAATCCTTCTCTAACAGTTAACTACTAACATTTATTGAAACCACCCAATTATTCATCACTTTATCCGAGTTCTGGTTTGGACAGAAAGAAATTTCAACTTCACAGTGATATATCATTTTAAACCCACCACTTGAGGAAATAAGAAATGCTAGCATTACATGAAAAAAAAACCCCACCTTTTTTATTACATTAATACTAGTAATTCCAAAACAAAAATTAACATCTTGTCCTGAGCTTGCAGAGCACAAAAATACCAAAAACCTGTTGAAAGAAACAGTCACTATTCCTATCTTCATTTCAACTTTTCAAAACTCTGGTCAATATGAAAAGGAGCTAAAAGAAAAGAATACAGCAGTCATCAACTCAGACAGACTTTGAAACAGAGCAAGAAAATACTAATGCAGAGTTTGGCTCCACTGGGAAATAAAAATGTTGAAAAGAGCATTCTAGCTTCAATGATTTAAAATAATCCAGCATTTTGTGTAAGCACAATGCTGGACAATACACTTCTTGCAGGTATGCATTTGCATTTTGTCCTGAATAATGTTTCTGACATTTCACATATGCCAATATTCATTCATGTCTAACACTGTGTTACTAAAATTTGAATGTTATTTAGAAATCGGATGTGTTGAACCACTTTTAAAACCAACTGAATACAACCTATTTTTTTATTAAAATCTTCATTTATTAAACAAAACTATACCCTATGAGGAATGAAGTTTTTCCACATTTAACATTTTCATAGTTAACCTTACTGAGAGTTTTGCAACAATATATATGCTAGTGAAGATAAATACATATTTTAGATTCAAAACTGTTGTCAAGCAGATGGAATAATCTATTGGGTCACAGGGCAGACAACAAGAGGAAATGAGCACAGATCTCTCGCTTTTGACTAACTCTTATGTGGAAAGAGTATTGCTTTATGATGAGCTCACATGTGGGAAAGCGTTTAGTGACTGCATAAAAATGAATAAAAAAATACTGGGGTATAAGTAGGTCATGAAGATTAAGATGCTTTTTGTGTATTAATCTTACTTCGATTTCTGGGCTTTAAAGTAGAACAGAACTGACAGTGGAAAATGAAGGTGGGCTATTTACTATAACCATAAGTTAAAGTTAAATCACAAAATAAAAGGATTACAGACTCAACCGGGGAAAAGCACCAGGTCAGGACTGTAATCTCTATTAATTAGTTATCCCAGCTGGGCAGTGGGTATGCAGCTGTTAACTTGATCAATGACTTACCTAAATGTCATCTCCACTGATTCGCTTATAAATTACCAGCAAGTGAGACTAATGTACAGGTGCTAATTTATTTAAACTGTTCTCTGCAGTTCTACATAGCGTTATAAACTGCATCTGGCACCTAATGTTAGCTGTCAGTTGTACTTAGACATGCCTGTCCTAACGACTCTGTTCATTAGAAATGAGCACAAATTATGAAATATTGTGAAAAATGATACATCAAATGGAATGGGCAAAGCAAATCAATTAGAAAAACTTCATAGCACATATTCACACATAGGAGAATAAAACATCCTAGCTTCAGAGTGAGGTCTATAATACCAATTAAAAAGCAATTGGTAGACTTCTGCAGAGTTATATATCAATTTGCTGGATTTTTTTTTCTCCTCCAGAAATATAGTTGTAATGCACAGCTTAACTTTTCATTCCTAAATAAAAGCATCTGTATGAGGCGATTCTGCTTCCACAACATCCAGAAGGATTAGCAAATAAGTCAACTTATTTTCCTGCTTAGAACTTCACAAGGTTTAGCTTTTCCTAAGCTATACCTAAAACTCCAGTGAAGAACAGAATCCTGTGATGTCTACTTTAGAAATACACTGCACAGGCTGATTAACAGTAGAAGACATGGAGGTATATAAGCACTCATCAGAAAGAATTATTACTATGAAATGTAAAGCTTGATAATTCTCCTGCCAGTGCTTAAGCAGCTTTTATATTTTTATAACAGAAATTTAATTATGCATAGCAGACACTATTACACACACTAATTATTTTCCAACACCTGACAGAACACGAAGAAATTAAATATGTACCATAGATACTTGGTAACACCAAACAAAACATTACTCCTTTGACTCTAATTCTCTATCTTTTCAGAGATAGACTGCAAAGCAGCCTCATACCTGTCACCTGCACTGCATTTGTAAAAACTTGTTTCTAGAATGTATCTGCTTTTACTAATGATGAAGCTCAGTTAATTTTTTGCAAACTATCAGTGTTGTGGATTCATAAAGAAGAAACCACTACTTAGATCTGGTCATTTTCAGTTTCTTGCAGTCTTGTAAGCCATCTGTAAGCCTTCTCCCTAGACCCTATCAAGGAAGAAAGCCAGACTGCAGTTTGATGCATTCTCCTACTATTAGCTTTTTGGGCAAGCAAACAGAATTACTAGCAGCAGCATCGTACTGTACTAACATGGGAGGTATTCTGGTGGCAGCTCTGTGCATGAATCCGAGAAAGTAACTCAAAAAGATAAATATCATTAAAGGGAAGAAACAAACATCTGAAAAATACAGGAAAAGAAACTTCCATTGGCTGTACAGAAATAACAAAGCCAATGTAAAGAAACAGGCTGCTATTACTGCTGACTCAGATGCCTCGATGAATACTTTTACTGCAGACAGGACCTTATCAACTCTACACCAAGACTGTAATAGTCTCTGCATTGGCACTTCTCTGTAGAGGAACAAAGTGACATCTACAATTCTGAATGAAAGTAGCCACAGTATTAGAGCAAAGCTTTGTACTCATAAAGCTTGATTTCCTACGGATTTGCGACTTGAAGTCAAGCTTCCCTTATGGATTTTCTGGTATCTTGTAAAACTCAAGTGTCATTTCAGCCGTTTTCCCAGCAGGCCAGTAACTGTGCGTCTCTACTGGCTATTTTTGGAGTTTTCAAAACTTAGTTTTGAAGCCTGTCGAATGTATTTGAAATTAGCCTGTATCACCACCTACAGACTTAGATCTTTCTTGGGACAAACATGCTGTCAAGACCTTTTGTGAGGACACAGCTATGCTAACAGAATCTTGCCACTGAGAGACGCAAGAAACTCTTCACTCTGAAAAAGCTAAACCACACACACCTCTCATTTTGTACATACCACCTTACTATGTCTACCCCAAGGCCCCTGCTGATATACTGTGCTGCCATGGCTATAGTAACAGTGCTGCTGCTGTACAGACAAAGCTTCGGCCATGAGACTTCACACAGCTTCACCTAAGAGCGAATGTCACCAAATGACATTTCTCCTCCCTACCTCTGATGCATGATAAAACAAGACAGAAGTGAAGACCAGTTGGGACATAAAAAAATTTAAAAATCCATGCAACAAAACATTTTTCTAAGTGAAAGGGAGCATATCTATACATGAGCCTAAATGACACAGAGAAAGAGGAGGCCACCCATCCATCAGTTGTCAGAAGGAATGGCAGTAAAATAGTATGTTTGGAACTACTGAGATAAGTTTAAATTCATGCCTGTATTAAAATCTCTAAGCAAAACCAGAGTGTTAGTTGTAAAACATCCTATAAAATTTAATTTGCATTACCACAACTACAGTATCATACAAGAAAACCCGACCTAAATATACACAGCAGGTGAAACTGTGGGTAAATGTTTCAAAGTGCTACATAAACCTTTACAGTGCCTCTTATAACCTCAGATGAAGGGTATTATCCATTAGTACTTTCAAAAAGAACCTACTGTGCTTTAGCAAGATATGGTATACAGCTCTAGACTATGATGCCTGACCTTACATGGTAGCAGGGCTAGAATCTCTATTCACAGTCACAATGTTTGCAATGTATAGTAGCATTCTTTCTTATTCTGACAGTTTGATTAAAATTCACAGAGAGCTGAGGGGCTCATGCTGAAGTAAAGCGCTTTTGATATCTGAAACTCTACAGTAAATTACTTCTCCAACAGAGCAACTGTACTTACATCAATATCCTCTTGGGTAAAAGTTTCTGGATCTTCTCCCATCATGTTGGCTAAATGTCTCTTTCCTAGGTTGAACTCTTCAATCTGTTTTTTAATAAATTCCTCTGTGTACTTTTCAGGTCCTGAGGCTCCTACATTTTTTCTCTGCACTGCTTTAGTGGTATAGATTAGCCTTAACACCTAACACAAAAAAAAAAAGTGAGATTAATTTTATATTTTTGGCACAGTGAGCTCTAAATAACATGAACAGTATAACAAGCCATTCATACCTGTAACAAGATTCAACACGCTGTTGTAATAAACTGGATAAAGCAGTGTTACTTATGAAACCATTTTCTTCCAATTGTTTAATGCTCATAAACAGATAAACACACTCTAAAAGTTCACATTTTCACATATTACAATTAATTCTGAAGATTTTTCTGATGGAAAGAAATGTATCATATGTCAGGAACATCCAGCAGAAGCAAAACACAGCACTGATCAAGAGACACAGTCTTTAGATAAAAATCTATCAGTAAATACACAGGTTTTGCCTTCACCTATAGGCATCCCATAACAAAGTATGAAAATAATCTGTGGGGCAGCTCTCTACTGGCTTTCAGAAGTACATGGCTGTACAAATGGTGCTAAAGGCTCTGGGAAGGTTATGGACTTCCTTGTTCACAGCGCCAGAATAGTTCTTAAGCTATTTCACCATCTCGAGCAGAACAATCAGAAAACCAGTAGGTCTCACCACAAATACTACTGAGCATCACTCCAGCTCAGAAGTCATTTGATCTTTGTGGGATATAAGTTTGGCTTTTTTTCTATCAAGATGATCAGTAAAGTTGACTGACTTCAATCAAGCACTCCGCCAGACAAACAGGAGCTTCACTGACATAGCTATTTATAATGTCCCAATTCTGGCCTATTGCCAATATTATGCGCTATTTTGTCTCTCCAACGTTAGTATTAAAGTCCTCTGCAGCTTAATTATTCCACAAACTGAATGAGAACTGATTATTTGTGTGGTCTTCTGTGGGCGGGAGGAGGGAAGGAATTGCAAGTGAAAAAGCTGTGTGAGACAGAAAAGCAAAGACAGGAAAAGAATCACTTCTGAATCAGAAAAATGCCCAGTTGGGTTCACAACACAGTACTCTGAAACACTTCTCTCCAGCTCCTTCAACATGACACAGCCCGGCTTTGTGAGCAGGCAGTGCCATTTCACATGGCAGAGCGAGCCCACCCTATAGTCTGCCCTTACCAGCATTCTTTCCTCCATTCCCTTCACTTGCCCTGCACCATTTCTGGCACTCAGACTTTTTTGCAAGGCAGCTCAGGTCCCTACATGTGGCAGAATTTCTGCTCCCTCCCAGTGAGTGGCCACTCCTCAGCTGAGCTGGTTAAGTTCAAGCAATTCAAAGAAGGCTCTGAGAAGAGACAAAGCTGACATGAGGTGGCTGAATCACACACAACTCAGAGCAATGAAGTAAAGGAGGAGTCCTCCCTTTACCTTCATTCAGCAAACTACTAAATTGCCTCTGTTCCTGGAGCTGCAGCCCCAGTCTGCATTTAGCCTAACATTAAAACCCAAACACACACAACAAAGCAAACTAGTTAGGGTCCTCATGAGGAACAGAATAAAGCTAGTATTTGAAACAATTCAGTGTTCTCCAGGTCCTAAGAATCATCTTCTCCAGGTCACAATGTAGACATGCTGACCATTTTGACAGATTTTTTTCCCATTCCAGGTTAAGCTAATATGAGCAGCATAAAATACTTGCTATCTTCCTGTAACTAATACAACGTAATCTTCAAACCCAGCTGTAACCAAAATTATATATGTCTCATTAAAAAAAGATTAGATTGATATATTTGCAAGACAAACAAAAGTGGATCAAACTTCCACCTTCTGTTTGTAATATGAGTTACCTTGCATGAACTTCTCCTGTGACTAGAAGCTTTGGGTGCCTTCTATTACATAGTCAAGACCCACATGAGCAGGAAATGAAACACATATTCTTGTAATTTCACAGAGCCTGGCTGGTATTCTGGATATCTTGCAGCCCAAGATGGGCTGATCAAACACACATCTGTAAAATTACCTGTCCAGGAGTGTCTCCAGCTTCAATACACAAACTAACAACCCTACTTAAAATTTTGGTTTGGAATAAAGACTACAATATCCTGCCCTAAATCTATATATAGTACATGCCTGTGCTGCAGGATCAGTCCTATGAATTCAATAAGGTTTGACATGGCTGGCAAAGTAATCTTGGAATAACAAGGTCATATGATATGAAAAGAACTGACCCTCTATGCTTTTACAACCTGACATAGATAAAGATATGCCCCTCAAGGTATGTTCCTCAGAAAAGTCATCAATACCTCTGCCAGAAAACATTTAAAAACAGCTCCAAGGCAGAATTTGGTGCTGAAGAGCCTGCTGTTGATTTGTTTCTCCACACCTTATATGTATCATATGCAATGCTAGTCCTGGTTTGCTCCCCCACCCCCTTTTTTTAATTCATGTTTTTTGTGAGGTTATATTAACATATATAAAATTAAAATAAAAACAACCAAAGTTTAAAATGTTCACAATTTTCACAGGCAAGGCTCTGGTGATTTCCTTGGAAAGCAGCGGTATGCCCGCACATTCTCTGTTCTTCTCTCCTAGTCACTCCTCAGGAAAGAATTCAATTCATCTTCTGTCTTACTTGTCTTAATAGTAACTAATTATTTGTAATTCCTTTTAATGAACATATGATTCCTTATTATGTGGCCCAAAATTGCTTTCTCTCTGCTATGCTTTAAATGGAATACTTTAAAAAAGACTGCTTTCATCTTATTCCTGTCAATTTCTATTGTAATTTTCTCATTTTTGTCCTCCTTCCCTCAAGCTATTCATATTCTTCCCTAGTTTCAATTCATCACTAATCAAAAGTCCCTGGACACACAAACTGTTCATAATTAGAAAACAGCCTCTTATGCAAATTAGTATCTACTGCATTGGGTACCTCTTCTGGGATAAGAGTACTATTCCATGGGTGGTACAGGCAAGAACTGCAAAGCACAGCTAAATGCTTCTGGCATTCAGTCAAAAAAAAGAAAGTGTCTCCTCTGCTTTCTGAAAGCTTGCATTCACTTCTTACATGTTTCATAAAGCATTACTGCAAATAGCAGCCTCGCAATTTTTTTTACATAATAACAGTTATTAACAGTAGCCCTGAAATAATAAACTCTGCCAGGACAGGGGAGAAGGGAAAGCCTTTACTTCTGGATGCAGCTCCATGGTACCAACCCTCTCTTTCCAACTCCTTCCCAAGCAACCTAGCATTAAGACAGCTTGGCAAATCCTGATTTTGAAGGGAGACTATAAATATATGGAAAACCAGCTTATATAAAATTTGCCTTAGGAAAAGAAAAAGGCATTTTCAGACAAGTTCAACTTCTTGAACCAATTTTTTTCAAGAAGATAAGTAACTAGAACCTTTTAATTGTGCTGTTGATTTTGCTTCATTAGAGTGATATAGATACATCACCACATATCACTAATAGAAGAATCGAGCTTCCTATATTTTTGGAATGCAAGGAAAGGGGAAACAGAGACAGGAGGCTTTAAGTCAAGAGAAACATCATCCATTCGACAACAACAGATACTTACAGAGACAAAAGATGACGCCAAATGATGGCATACATGCAGTTGTACCATTTTCATGCTGCTTCTATGCTCTAAGCTGGCACATATCAACCACAGCCTTTTCCAAAATCACAGAGCGCACAAATCTGTACCAAAAAGTTATCCCTGGGAGAGAACTTCTGTAAGAGATGTGGAACTGAAGCAGCAGAACCACATCAGCATGCAGGACAAAAGCTGCCCTGTGTCCACTGCTCCAATTACTGGCACAGTTAGTGCTGCTGAACCCAGGAGACACGATACTAACAGTGGTCTTCTAGTCACTTGTTGCACAAGAAAAAACATGCATTATGTAGCAATCATACAGAATGTAAATGCTCAGATCCATCCCAAGTTTCTAAAGAATTACATTTCATTCAAGAGATGACTTTCTGCTTTCTAGTGTGTTTTACAAAAATGTGTTTTATTTACTTAAACAGTATTTACATAATCTCAGATTTCAGTCAGCCTATGAAATAATTAGGTGAATCAGAATCAGTGTTACATTTTAAGGAGCGTTCTGTAAAACACTTCAGGAAGTATCACAAGGTGTCAGCAAATATGCATAAATGATTCTATATTACTTTTTATACCCAGTTTCACAAAGTATTTAATCAGAAGAAACTTCTCAAAATAAAGCCTCTTGACAGGTAATTGTAAAACTGCATCTCCCCCACCCAGGAAAATCTACTTTCTATGCATATTTGACCAAACCTGCATATTAAGATTTGCTTATACTATATACTATGGAAATAAATGACAGCTCTAAATGTATGGACACATGGCAAGTGGTCAGATGTACACAACTGGGAACAGAATTTAGATATGGTTGTTTTGAGGCACAAGTTATTAAACGCCAACAGGTTCTTCAACTCTAGCTTAGTTAACAACTGCAGAAAAAGCTACTCCATTCAAGTATGCAGTTCTGAAAGCAGTCACCAAAGTGCTTCCATCTCTTTCTGGTATCAGTACATATACCATCTACAGAGATTTAGATAAGGTACCTGAACCGATCAAATTAAGTAGCACATATGGCACTCTGAAATCTTCTGAGAACATCTATTCAATCACACCAGAAGTGACTAACAGCAACTAAGCTAGATATTTTTTGTTCTCTTTAGAAATTGTGTTAAATCTCCGTCATTTGCTTATTTGAAGAACAAGAGACTAATCCTGTTGTTCAGTCAAGGCTAAGGGAACTCAATTATAAAGTTTCTCTCCCACTTTCTCTAAGTGAGACACTTTCAAATAAAAAAAAAAAACAACCCAACAAAAAATCCCAAGAAATTGAACTGCTTCCCCCACTAAGATAGACAAGAAGTAACGAACTAAACTCCAGCAAGAGATTTTTAGGATAGCTATCATAAAAAATGTTCCCCCAACAGTAAGGGCAGGTAAGTGGTTAGTGTGAGAAATGGTTATTGCAGGTGAGAATAAGAGTACATCAACTTATTGCCCTGTACTCAACAGCAACCACTATCAAAGGCAGAACAAGATGACAAACAACTACTGACCATTTTCCCAGGACTCTTCCCCAGTTTCCCACAATCTGCGGTTCAAAGACATTCTGATATCTGGTTTTTAACAGTCCTCAGTGGAATCTTCTTCCAAGTTTTCTCAAGTGGCTTTTTGTATTCAAATAAATGCTAAGCTTCCTAAACATCCTCAAAAGAGTTCCACAGGTTAACTACACCCAATGGAAGGAAGAGTTCCTAAAGTCTCCTGGGCCCTGCCTCCCATTAGATCCCTTAATATCAAAGAATTTTGGGTTGGACAGTTCCAAACCCCCTGCCATGGCAGGGACACCTTCCACTAGACCAGGTTGCTCAAAGCCCCATCCAACCTCTCTTGAACACTTGCAGGGATGGGGCAGCCACAACTTCTCTGGGCAACCTGTTCAGTGCCTGCCTCGCCATCATCACAGTGAAGAGCCTCCTCCTTATACCTAAAAAGCCACTCCCCCTCGTCCTGCCACTGCTTGCTCTTAGGAAAATGTCCCTCTCTAGCTTTCTTGTTTCTTTTCATCTACAGTTAGATGATCTGCATACAAGTACAGACTTAGGTACTGATACCACCCCCACCTCGGGGGGAGGGGGGGGGGGGGGAAGGTGAGAGGAGTAGACAAATGATCTCTTAAGGCCCCTTTGAGCCCTGCCTTCTACAGTGACTCCTCCTTCGAGATCATGTCCTTATTTACAATACAAATCCTTTTCAAACTCAAGCAGGTGCCTGCCAGGAAATCTAAGTTATTGTCATAATCATACCTTTGATAAAGGATAACCTAAATAACACAAACTACTCTGAGAATGGAATCAAATGTTAGAATATTTTCAGACTTACTCTGTTTCGCATTCCCTGCACAACTTAAGCAGATGTATTTGTGCTGTATACAGAGCTATCCAGATGGGCACCAGGTCTTTATCCCTAATGGATAAAGTTAATCTAGAAGTAACCAATATAAACAGGTCAAATTGCTCCTTCCAGTATTACCTTTCATTTCCTTACTGCATCTATCTTCTGTTACTCCACAGCTTGGTTTAGTTCTGTCACCAAACAGTTCTTCAGCCCCTATTATCCTAAATTACTCTGTAATTTGAAAGTGTTACCAGCCTGCCTTTTTATCCACTTTCTGTTGACTGATTAAATATACATACAGGTGTATCAAATACCACTGCACAAACACAGTGGTTGTCCTCAATAGTGACCGCAACCAAGCTTTTTAATTAAACATCAATCAGCTGAACACCAATATCTCTAAAAACAAAGGGGTAACACCGTTTAATCATAAGTTAACATACTTGTGGAGCACATTCCTCTCCCTGTCACAGGAACTGAAGGGTTCATTTCCTACTTACATGCTGAACGAACACAATTCAAGGTGATCAGCCTAACATATTACTGTCTAGTCTAGTGGAAGGTGTCCCTGCCCATGGCAGGAGGCTTGGAACTAAATGAGTTTTAAGGTCCCTTCCAATCCCCAAACCATTCTCTGATACTTCAACTTTGTATTGGCTTTAGTCTATGCACTGCCCTGTTAGTTCTAGATACGTATGTAATAAATCAGGTCTTAACTACGCTTTCCATCAAGAAAGATAAGCTCGACTCACGGCAGGGCCGACCTGAAACAAGGCGCCGGCTCTCGCCCTTTCCAACACCGCCTCCTCTCGGAGTCGGCTCCGCCGGCGGCCGCTAGGCCACAGCCCCGCCGGCCCGGGGGCAGGGCCGGGGCCAGAGCAGCACCACGTCCCGGCCCAACCGGGGCCTCCGCACTGTCACCCCGGCAGGGACACCCGCGCTCCGGCCCTCCCGCGCCACCCTCCGGCTCGCCACCTGCCGCCGCACGGAGCCGTCCGCAACCGGGCAGAGCCGGGTGGGCTCCGCACAACGGGGCGGCTCTCACCTGGGCTCGCGGCCCGCCCGGCACCGCCGCGCTCCAACGGCCTCCCAGCCGCAGTACGCGACCAACGGTAGCCGCCATACCCACGGCTCCCCGCACCGGCCGCCACGCCAAGGCACGGCGCGGGACGGAAGCTCCCGGCCGCAGGCCCCGGCGCAACCGATTGGCGGGCGGGGGTAAAGAGGAGGGGCTACGCCTGCGCGCTGCTCTCCCCACCTCATCGTCGTACCGGGTCATTCGGCCCGCCCGTCTTCACGAGCAGGGAAGCGTCTGCAGCGTGGGTGAGCTGTGAGCGGGTGTTGGACTGTATTTGAACGGTGAAACGCTTCAGCGTTATTAAAGTTCAGGCTGATGTTTAAAAGGACGGTTTATAAGTTGCATTAACTTGGGACCAGGTCAGCAGTAGGCCCCTGGTGTCTGGCTGTCACCTAAGGTGGGCCCTGCCCCGGTGAACATTGCCCCTGAAGGAAGAGGCTTTAATGAAGATTCCTGTTTAGCGCTGGAAATCACAGCGCGTCCCTGCAACACGGCTACTCTGGAGAGTTGTAGCTAAAAGCGTATTTCACCTAGCACTGGGTTTGGATTTTTTTTTGTGTGGAAAAATGCCATTTTTCTAGATATGCAGCAGTTGTCTCTTGCTGAGTGGGGGTTGGTATCAATACTGTCACTTCCCAAGGTGATGTTAATCTGGATGTTAAACTATGAGAGCTGGAGAGTTTTCATTGAGTGTGACCAGCAGGTGGAAGGAGGTGATCCTGGCCCTCTGCTCTCGTAAGACGCTGCTTGGAGTATTGTGTGTAGTTCCGGTGTCCTCAACATAAAAAGGACATGGAACTGTTGGAACAAGTCCAGAGGAGGGCCACGAGGATGATCAGGGGACTGGAGCACCTCCCGTATGAAGACAGGCTGAGAAAGTTGGGGCTGCTCAGCCTGGAGAAGAGAAGGCTGCGTGGAGACCTCATAGCAGCCTTCCAGTATCTGAAGAGGGCCTACAAGGATGCTGAAAAGGGGCTCTTCATCAGGGACTGTAGCAGTAGGACAAGGAGTAAACAGGGAGATTTAGGTTAGATACAAGAAGTTCTTTACTGTGCGGGTGGTGAGGCACTGGAATGGTTGCCCAGTGAAGTTGTGAATGCTCCATCCCTGGCAGTGTTCAAGGCCAGGTTGGACAGAGCCTTGGGTAACATGGTCTAGTGTGAGATGTCCCTGCCCATGGCAAGGGGGTTGGAATTATATGACCTTAGGTCCTTTCCAACCCAAACCATTCTATGATTCCACAAATTGCATAGTATATACCCTTAGAGATGACTGGATTTTGGCAGTAGTTTTTTCTACCACAGGAAAAGTGGAAAATAATTAAAAATTTAATTTAAGGAAGTTCTACTTTAGACTTATGGGGACCTTCTGTCTAAGAGCAGTTATTGAAATGAATCTCTGCTTTTCCAGGTTTGTTTTTCTTTTCTCATTTTCACGGGTGACGCTTTCTTTGCCCCATGCAGACATAAGGATGATTTTCTCTCTGGGATGTAAAATGGGGCATAAGAAAACTGGCTGTGGGTAAGGGAAGTCACCCATGTGGAGAGGTCAAGGAGAAGCTGCCTGGAAAGGTGCATTTATTCTTGTGGTTACCGGCTGTGAAAATGAAAACGTCAGTAGTTTTATTGACATGGATACATGTGAACACAATGAATGCTGCACTGAAGAGCAGTGGAGTGTCTCTCTCCTGTGCACACCTGGCCAAGCACTGGGAACTGCAGCTGTGCTTTCATTCACAGGATGCATAGGGATGTCATTTGGTTGCCAGCTGTTTCTCCAAAAGAGAAAACGGGGGTCAGGTTAGGGTCACAGTCCCACTGACCCACCTCCCAGAGCAGCCAGCTGAGCTGAAGGGGTGGAGAAAGCCAGAGATGGCATGGCCTTTTGAAGGCCCGTGGTGAATCTCGTCTGCCATCTGTCACCCCGCAGCTTGGCTTTGTTCAATGGTGGAGGAGCTCCTCAGTCCTCATAGCACTGAGCAATTGTTACCTCTCACCCCTGCCAGCTCTACAGAAACAAAGCACTGCTGGAGTGAACAGCTCTTATTTGCCATATATAATTAATTGTCAGTTAAACTCCAGGAGAAGGTCCACCTATAAAATTCCATCCACTTATACTTGAGAACTCGTTGATGTAAATGCAACTCCCTTGACTCCCTAAATCTATCTACTCCTATGCCCACTGTGAAATAAACCTAAATGATTTTGCAGTTGGAAGAATTTTCAATGATGTGTGAGCTCATACAGTTTCAGTCTGAGGTTACAAAGTTCTCACAAATTGCTGAATGGAGACCATGGTACATGTGGAGTCCAGCATTTAATTACAAGGGCCATGTTGTATCCCTCTCAGATCTTTAGAGAGGTCAGCCCTTTAAAGTTAATGGCTGCCCCTTAAAGGTGGAAGGTTTTTGCACAGATTCCAGGTATGTTTCCCAACCATCCTGCTGCTGCCAAAGAGTTTATCTTGGCTTCCTTCTCCCTGGAAGACACTACAGAGGTGCCTGGATGACTGATTTCTCGACTAATTATATAGCTAAATGTGGTAGTAGGTAGTTATTACTTAGCATGCTTTGAAGAAAACGTACTTTTGTGGTGGGCACGGTTAATGTGTCCCAGAAAGATTCCTTCCTGCGGAAGGACTGTCACTTCTGCTTGAACATCAGGAGTCTGGGTTTGCCACTTCAAAATCAGTTTTTAGCACAAGCCAAGAAGATAAAAATGAGCAGAAGTTATTTACATGCTCAGTCAACCTGCATCCCCATCCCTCTGTCAAGTTTATTAAGATTTTTAAGAGCTAGAGGGAAATGCAGGGAAACCATGTTTAATCTGCTTATCCAAGATTAACTCCAAGGGGCTTCTCTTTCTATCTCTGCATTTAGTTGACAAACTGTAGATGCTTACCTAATCCATGCAAACTACCCTGATGCTTCACTAAGCCCTCTGAGGATCTTTAGTCTCTTGTGGCAGGAATGTCCTTTTTGAGCACAGCTGGGCAATGTTCGACTCCAGGGACTTGTTCAAATTGTGAACCTGATTACCCATATACTCGTGTAACTTGCCAATCATGCTCTGTGTAATCACAGAACTGGGGACTGTTGCCTGCAGCACGTTACCTGCTTTGTTTTGAGATTTAGGTAATAAGGGTAAGCATGTAATTTGGGATGATGGAAGCTTTGGAGAACTAACACAAATATAATGGTAGAGCTTGTAGTTTCTGAATTAAAAAATCACTGAATGCAAGATAAGGAAACTGTGCTGAGCCTGCCATGTGCATGGGTCAGGGGACAGCCTGAGGGGCACATCTGTAGTAGAGGCAAATTATTTAGCACAGTCCTAAGGCTGAGCTTCTGTCCAAATTTGCTGATTGCTTAGACTACCAACCTAAATGCATACAGTTTTGCAGTGAGATTTGGGGTGTCCCTTCGTAATTAGAGTTGGGATTTGTACATAGCATGAGGTAAGGTTACTGGTATGGATAATATGAAAAACAGTTGCTTGAGGAACAGCTGTCCCAGTGGCAGTGATGGAGATGTATGGATCCATCTCCAGTTTACTGCGTCGTAGCTGCAGACAAAAAGATGTCAAGGATGACAGTACTGCATCAGGCCAAAGGTCCACTGAGCACAATGGCTTCACTCTAACAGTGGCCAATTATAGATGCTTACAGAAGAGTGGAAATATACAGAGATATTTCTCTGATAGTCTCCTGACCTGCAACAAGCTGAAGGCTGTATCTTAGACAGAAACTCATGCAGAAGAGGACAGGACTTAACAGAGAATGTAGCAGGTTCTGCTGCTATGCAACAGAAGAAGCTAATCTGCAGTAGAGGGGGTGCAAGAAAAGGGGTCTCCATGAAACAGAGGGCAAAATAAGTAATTGTAAGAGAGTTAAAACTTTGCAGGATGCCATAATCTAAATCCACTTCTGAAGAGATGCCTAAGTGTTTTTAATGTTTTCCCTAAACAGAAATAAAATAGTAGAATTGCTTTTGAATTCTGAACTAAAGTTGTTATTCTTAAAAACTATTTTCTGTTCGCTTTACCCTGTGCCTTTCTTGCTTAGACTGTAAGTATTTTGGCTCAAGTTCTAGGGCACCAGTGCCAAAAGGGACAGCAATCACTAGGGCTCATCCAGGGACCAAGTGGTTAGGTGGCAGAGTCTGAGGATGCTAGACAAAGCATCTGCATGCCGAGAACATTTCTCAGAGCCTAACCAAGTGCACTTTCTGGATTCTGTTTAGACCCAGGGAATTTTAGGAACACCCACGTCTTTTGTCCAACAACAACCCTTGAGTTTTTGGCTAGGGAGAGCTCCAGGGAAGGGTGGCTTGACAGTAAGCTTTGGGTTTCAGAAGTTTATCAGTATGTGTTTGAAAAAAAAACAATGCATGTTAAAAATGCAGAGAATTCAGCAGTATTTTAGCTCTGTTCCAGTTAAGTAATTTCTAGATATTTTATGGCATGTGTGTGCTTTTTGACATAGAAATTGGTTTGCATTGATCTTTTTCCTTACTATTGAAAGGCTTGAGGCTGATCTATCCAGAAGTCATGCTTTCTTAAATGCAAACACATAAATTTTGTTTTTAAAAACCTGGTAATAAGAACAACTATTTCATTGCACCTACTTTTCTTCAAATGTGGAGTGAGCACACTCCATTTCGTAGACTGCATACACTAGCTACCTAAGGGTTGTCAATTATGTTACGCTATAAAAGGCACACCACTTAGGGGGCTGTCAATCAAGTCTGTTGTGAGAGAGATCTCAAGAATCATTATTCCAACAGTATTTATCAAATATAAAAATAAAACAAATTTACATAACAACACCAAATACAGAGGTACTGTATTTCATTTTATAGTGAAAGTGATTTGGATTGAACACAGAGTCAGTAAAGGGAAATCAAAAATAGCCAGAGGTCTTTGCTTGTAAAGCAGTGGCCCCTGTTTGGTTCATTCCTACAGCTTTCTGTCTCCATGAAAGAAGGTGTTACCCAGATCTTCACTGCACTTTGGATCACAGCCCTGCATCTGTTTCATTTTTATTTCACAGTCTGGTGGTTGTTGGTTGAGGGTT